CTGATGTGTGTTCATTTCAACAATCATATTTTTCATTTCTAAAAGTTCTACTTAGTTCTCGTTCAAGGTTACCTCGATAATTTTTATATTCTCTTATTGACTTATTCGATTTATTTTTTTCTTATAAAGATTTCATACTTAGTTATATACATCTGACAATTCCAGTACCTTCTCAGGCATTTATATCTGTAACTTTTCATTTGCTTTTTGTCTCTGAGGACTCTCAGTGTTATGGCTGGTGTACATTTCAGTGTTTATGAGCTTATTATTTGTTTGAAAGTGATATATGGAAATTCTTAGTTTTCCTCCAGAAGAAATTTGTGCTTCTGTTGGAAACCAGGGGCTGCTAATGACATGAGACTACATTAGGTCCCTTATCAGGGCTTAAAATGGGACATACATTAGTATGGTAGGTCCTGGATTTGGTCTCCTGATCTTAGCATTGAGATCAAAGTTTTATATCTCACGGTTGGCTTTAGTTCCCTGATTTTCTGTTTTTTAGGGTTTTTTTTTAGTTTGGGGGAGAAGTGTGAAGATACCCTTGGAGAGTCCCTTAATTTGACAAGCCCAATAATACATTTGAAAATATGTTTTATCCAAGAACAAAATGTATTCCAAAAGGAGAATCCTCTCGAGTAGCGATGCTGGATGTCAGTCAGAACAGCTTCTACTGGACAGTTATATTATCTCATTTATACTTCTCAGCAATCCTCAAGGCAATTTTATTCTCACTTGACAGATGGGAGGTTAAGAAACTAATGTTACACAGCCAGTAAGTAGAAGCACATTAGTACTGGCACCAGAATTTGAACACAAATCTGTTTAAAGCCAAACTTGTGTTCCTCACCACTACGTAATATTGTCTCTCAGACACAAATTCATGAAGATCTGTACCTTTTTAGAGGCATCTCTCCCCCATCTTTTACTTGCTCCCCCTAGTTCCAGTTTTAGTATCTGCTTTTTAATTCTCTTATATCATGACAGACGTTAGACTGAACGGCTATCAATGAATGCCAAGCCTTGATGTAAACACTGATAAGCTGCTCTGAGTTTGGAGAGAAAAGAAAAAGAAGTCATCCAGCACAACAGATACAGAAGTTTTAGGAACACAGTCTGAGACGTGAGTCATATAGAATTTTAAAGAGAAACTGCTATAATCTTCTTTAGACCAAAGTTATTTTCCTAAATTCTCAAATTATTTTTTAAAGTACATAAACAAAATAATTGTTCTCCCTGCTAATATCACTACAAGTCCCAGTTGTCTTTAGCAAAATCAGAGGCGATAATCATTGGATGAAGGCTGTTCCAATTGTATGGGAAGAGATTACCCAGGCCCTATTTGATATTAAGAACCTCAACATAAATACTGGGGTTTCATATCATCCTAACGAATTAAAAGTTATGCATTTACAAATTTTAAAATGTTAATTCCACCATTGATTTACACTCCATTTGTCCTAAAAATTTTTGTTTCCTAATTCATGTCAACTTAAAAAAAAAAAAAGAGTAAATAAGTTTTCCCACCTGAGTATTCCACTAATACTATTTTGAAATATCTGTTACTAAAAAAGTCATCTCCTCATCTTAAGACCATAAATATTTTAACTGACACCAAAGGAAAAAAAAATCTCCTTTTATAAGACAATTCAAACCACATCATTCAAATTTGGTTTGTAAAATTTGGTTTAAAGGAGATTTTAAAATATATTTATTCACTTATTCATTCATTCCATAAACATTTGGTCTGCACGTCTTGTATGCCAAACAACATGCTGGGGTCTCAGGAATACAGATGAAAGAGTCTTGACCCCAAGCTGCTCACACCTATACTAACACCCCTAATATGCTTACATGGAAACACACACTCAGGATCCTGCTGCTCTTTGCTAGTGGCAGCAAATAATCATTTCCCAAGTTGGGGCCTCAAAGTATAAAAATGAATTCTTATTGTCACAATAGGACAATCAATTAAGTTTCAGTTTTTATCTTTAACAATCATTTGCTCCAACATATACTGAACTCCTGGTATGGGCAAATGGCTAACTGAGTTTTCAACTCTACTGAAAAACTCTTTGAAAGCAAGCTTTGAGAACTCTCATCTCTATTTTTACATCATGCTACTGTAGAATGACTCAGGATCGGCCAGTAAATTTTAAACATTTGTGGGTAATGGAACCCATGGAAAATCTGATAAAAAAAATACATGCACATGTATGAAATTTTTCTATAAATTTCAGAAATGGTGCAGGGAACCCCCAAGACCCTGGTATAGACCATTCAATAGGACCACGGGAATGTCTGCTGACTGTGAGCAACCTCAGGGTGTGAACTTCAGTTGTGTCTCATTCAAGTTAGTATTCCTTGTCCCAGAGCAGATTTCAAAAAAGTATTGTTGAATGAGCACCTTGGCAACACTGTCCTTATGAAGCTTCCATTGTTATTTCCCTCTCCCCTCAAAACTTCCAAATCCTCAACTTCCACTTACATACTTTTCTAAAACTTACTTGCTGAAGCCTAATCTGACAGTCAAGGCAACTATCTCTTTTCCAGACTCTACTTCCATAATTTTCCCTCCTCCACTTCACAAAAGGCATACCTCCTACCACCCAAATGTTACAATGACGCATTGTCCCAGAGTGTAAAAACCACTCCAGCCAGCAAAAAAAAATTTCCAAGATACACAGTGTCTAAGGGAGTGTCCCTTGAGAAAAAGCAAAAAGATCCTTGTAAGAAATACAAAGAGGTTATACCTCATTTTATCCAGGGGATAAACTCTTGGCAACTCCCATACCTTACTTATATGTTGAATAATTAGAATTCAGAAGTAAGGTGATTATATGGGTCAGATTTTAACACTTACTTGAATTAAAAGGTGGTCAGCCTTTTTCTGCCAGAAAGCTCAACTTACGAGTTACTTTGACAAAGAACACTGAGGACGTGTAACATCCAAGGAGCTAAATCTGCACTTTTGAGATTTTGGCAATATATATTTAAAGCATATGCACAATATAGAATACACTGAAAGTACATACTTGGTGACAATTTAAGCTTACGCCAAAAAAATTAGATAACTTAAAAATGATCAAGGAAATAACAATGGATTTTTAAAATAATTTTCTTTAAAGATTTTATGGGGCGCCTGGGTGGCTCAGTCATTAAGCGTCTGCCTTCTGCTCAGGTCATGATCCCAGGGTCCTGGGATCGAGCACCGCATTGGGCTCCCTGCTCCGCAGGAAGCCTGCTTCTCCCTCTCCCATTCCCCCTGCTTGTGTTCCCCCTCTCACTGTGTGTCTCTCTGTCAAATAAATAAACAAAATCTTTAAAAAAAAGATTTTATTAATTTATTTTGAGAGAGAGAGTGTGTACAAGCAGGGGGTGGGGTAGAGGCAGAGGGAGAGAGAGAATCTCAAGCAGACTCCATGCTGAGCTCAGAGCCCGATGTGGGGCTCAATCTCACAACCCCGAGATCATGACCTGAGCTGAAATCAAGAGTTGGACGCTCAACCAGCTGAGCAACCCCAGCGCCCCTGGATTAAATTTCTTAAACATGAAAAATGAAACTATAAATGCACTAGAAAAATACAGGACAATAATTTTTTCAACGGAAGGAATGTGGGTAAGGAAGATCATCCAAACAAAGATTGTTTTTTTTTAAAGAAGCCATAAAGGAAAAGACTAACAAATTTCATTGCATAAAACATATTAAATTTTAAAAGGACATCAGTTAAAAGATCAATGATAGGCTGGAAGAAAATATTTGCTACATATACAGCAAACATATCTATAATATAAACAGTTCCTATAAACCAACAGGAAAATATTTTTAAAAAAGAAAAACAGCACAAAATGAGCAAAAAAATATAAGAAGGCAATTCACAGAGAAAATACTAACAGTCAATATTCACTCAGCCCTTGCTGTATTCAGAAAAAAGAAATGCATATTAAGTAAATAATATATCATCTCTCCCCCAACAAATTGCCAAAAATTTAAAAGATTAATAGTACATAATGTTGTTTTTAGTATTGGGAAACAGGCAGTCTTATCCTTTACAAAAGAGAAAGTAAATGGTACATTTTGGAGAGGTGATTTCACAGTATCTGCCAAAATTAAGAACTGTTTGGTTGTATTTCTAGACATCTGTTATATGGGAATGCTTATTCATGAACCAAAATGAGTAGTGCAACATTGCTTATAAAGTGACACACATGTGCTGGTCACTTGGATAAGATTCCCTTAGATGACAAGTGCCTGAGCCCACAACATCTGGGTATTTCAGTCTTAATTGCTAGCTATGCAGGAGAGTGTAAGGCAATGTTTCACTTCTCTTTTCACAGAGATTGAGTCATTCTCTACAATGAGCAATCCTTGGAGAAACAACCCACAGTTTACTGATGGGCTTTGTCAACTGGAGACCAACCCCCAAAAGCTTCCACAGCAGCTGTCTAAGATCGCCAGAATTGATTTGGGAGCAAGAATTTTCCATCTGCTTTCCCAAATCTGATTGAATGCAATATAAGGTAATGTAATATCATCCTTCCTGTATATCATTCCTGTATATTCTGACGATTTTGCTATTTTCATGCATATATATGCAGTAGATGGGTCATTTCTTTTTTTTATTCTTTAACAAAACTAATATTAATTCAGTTTACCAATCAATGCCAACCAATGAGTTGGGACTAAAGCCAACACGTTAGAAAGTAGTAGATATGAGTAAGCAGGTGATTGTATTGCTTCTTTGAGTAAAACAATGGATTCTCATGTTATTTCTACCATCTCTAAAGGCAAGAAACAGAATCCCAGAAGAAGCATAAAACAGTGTTTAGATTCCCATAATCCTGCTAAGTTTATTTACAATTCCCTCCTTCATCCTTCCTGCCTGTCCAGATGGTTTTCTTCTTTGTTTCTCAAACTGAATTATGTTCATTGCCTTAAGATGTTAAATACTTCAAAGCCCTTCCTCTTTAGTTCCTCACAAACAGAAGTCATAAACTCTTACCTTTGCCGAATTATGCTGGGGTTAGCTGTCACTAAGTGACTTTTGGATCCAACATCTTTAGTGTATTCACTTGACAAAGGAGGAAGATTGCATCTAGAGAAACAAAACATTTTAGAATGATTTACAAACTTTTAAATCAAGTCAGTTATCATGACAAATAGGAATTTTACTAGATCTAGCTCAATTCACAAATAATCATTTTTATCACCTCTCCCTTTTAACAGTCATTAGATGATTAACTATAACCATCTTCAAAACACAGTCATAAAAACGAGTTCTGTTTTAGAGGAAAATGTCAACTAGAGAGTTAAGTAATCTATTAAAAAGGAGACATTAACTAGAATGAATTTATTCCATTCAAAATATTTTGGGGGTGGTAGGACAGGAAGTATTAGGCTTGAAACTAGAGCTCAGGAGGGTGTGGTACACTAAGGACACAGGGCTTGCAGTGTTCTCTGTATACCCAGAAACTTCAAGACACAGGGAAGAATTGTATTTGCTTGTGGTTTTCTTTCTGTTCCCAAATTCTAAATTATAACAGTACATTCAGAGCAAACTCTGCCTCCTAAATCAATGCATGTCCAACTTCTGTGTACATGATCAATGTATGGGTTGAAATATACTGGTGAGGGCGCCTGGGTGGCTCAGTTGGTTAAGCGACTGCCTTCGGCTCAGGTCATGATCCTGGAGTCCCGGGATCGAGTCCCGCATCAGGCTCCCTGTGCAGCGGGGAGTCTGCTTCTCCCTCTGACCCTCTCCCCTCTCATGCTCTCTCTCTATCTCATTCTCTCTCTCAAATAAATAAATAAATAAAATCTTAAAAAAAAAAACCTCTTAAAAAAAAAAAGAAAGAAATATACTGGTGAAACACAATGATTTGTTATCTAAAGAAATGCATTGATTCTCCATTGTCCCAGTTCAGCCAAGGGAAAGAGTACAGGTGATGTTTTCCTGGTGACAAAAATAACTCCCCTAGGGGCGCCTGGGTGGCTCAGTTGGTTAAGCGACTACCTTCGGCTCAGGTCATGATCCTGGAGTCCGGGGATCGAGTCCCACATCAGGCTCCCAGCTCAGCGGGGAGCCTGCTTCTCCCTCTGACCCTATCTCCTCTCATACTGTTTCCCTGTCTCTCTCTCTCTCTCAAATAAATAAATAAATAAAATCTTTAAAAAAAAAATAAGTAACTCCCCTCTCTCACACATACACACACACACACACACACACACACACACAATCGCCCCAGAGCCAATTGCTTTCCTTGGCCACAATGTCTTATGAATGTTTACAATGGAAAATATGGCAACTACAAATCCAAATCCCATGGCTTTCTGCCCTTGGAACTTCAGGCAAGTTAATTCATCTGCCTGGCCTTGGTTTCCCCATGACACAAAATGAGGATAATAACTTTTCTTAAATGAGGTTGTTGTAAGGATTACAGTAAGAAATGTATAAAAAGTCCCTACCTTGATACCTCACACATAGTAAAAACTCAAAAATATCGTGTATCAGAAATATATCTGTAATCAAATATACACTTTTTATGAAGACCCTAAATGAGTCTGTAGTTCCCATTAGGTTTTCTTTTATTACTCTGTCCTAATTTCTCCCCTCCACCCCTAGCTCTAACTTGACTCCTACCATATCAGAGCATCTCTAACTCTTGACTACTTAAACTAAAACATCATTTATTTGTAGGTAAAGAGATATAAACATTAAGGTCTCTGCCATCCCTCAACTATTAAATTTACCCTACAAATTTCCCCAGGACAGGGAATTGTCCGTGCACCACTCAGCTGATCAGCTCAAGTTCCTTGATGTTGTCTTGTATTTGTCCTGTGACTCCTACCACATCAGGGCATCTTGGGTGGAACTTGTCTCAGTTGATTTGGAATCTTCCTTTCATCTGCTCTACAGTAAAGAGATGCTGGATCTTCAGGCAGCTACCCACAGATTATTTAGTCAGCAAGTTGGTGACTTTTGCTGAGTGCCCATTGAGTGGTCACTGTAAGGGTCTGGGGAGCAGGGAGAGCCAAGTCACAGGGCCTCCTCTTGAGGTGTCTATAGTCTCGTGGTCACACCATATCCCGGGTAGTTTCTGAAGACCCTTGTGAGGGAGTGAGCTTCAGCATTACCAACCAGGCTCATGTGGCAGGAGTGCTGACTATGGTCTTGTGATTTAACTGATCTTTGCAAAGATGAAGGTGACTTTCAGGATAAAACATAAGCTAAAATTTGAGCATTTATGTCTTAAGGAAGCTTTGATCTTGATGGTCCTTCATAACATTCAAGAATCAAACACATTATACCAAAACTGTAACCTCTCAATACTGCTGGAGAGTGCAGTCAACCTGTTTTGTCATTAATGAAACATGTCAGTTTTAATGAACAAATACTTTGTTTTTCTGTGTGTTCCTTGTAGGTTGATCCATGGCTCATATGCCTGAGTTCCTTCATACCTTCTATTACAGTAAAGGCTCAAGAAAAACTTCTGGATACTGATTGTCAAATCCTACAATACAAGGAAATGCTTAAAGTAATTAAGATAATATTTTATAAATGCATTTCTGGAAAATAATGATACTGCATTTTGGTGTAAATATCTGTCTTAAGTTCTTCAAGTGCAAATGTCTATGACACTTCCTTGTAGCTCTTAGAAAAAGCACACTGTAATTTTAGTTCCTCGATTCCTAAATTGATAATAACAGATTTATATAAAAGGTACATTTAATACAAATTGTTTCTAATAAGGCATAATTGTGTAAAAGTGTTTCAAACTTTGCATTATCGCTCATTGGCACAATTAACAGATATTAATGACTAACGTGTGTTAGTAACTGTGCTCATGATCCTAAAAGATGTGATCACAGAACTGATGAAAGATAAATATTCTTTGAATTGGGGCATAGAGGTAGCAGGGGAATGGGCTTGGTGAAGAGGAATCTTTAAATAGAAAAAAGTCATAAAATTACTTTTTAAATGTTATGCATATCATTCATCATCAGGGAACTACAAATTAAAACTACAATGAGATATCACCTCACACCTGTCAGAATGGCTAAAATCAGCAACACAAGAAACAACAGGTATTGGTGAGGATGTGCAGAAAGGGGAACCCTCTTGCACTGTTGGGAGGAATACAAACTGGTACAGTTTGTGGAGGTTCCTTAAAAAGTTAAAAATAGGGTGCCTGGGTGGCTTAGTTGGTTAAGCATCTGCATTCAGCCCAGGTCATGATCCCAGGGTCCTGGGATCGAATCCTGCATCAAGCTCCCTTCTCAGCGGGGAGTCTGCTTCTCCCTCTTCCTCTACCCCTCCCCCCACCGTTTGTGCTCTCTCTCTCACTCTCTCTCAAATAAATCTTTTAAAATTTTTTTGAGAAAAAAAATTTAAAAAAAAGAAGTTAAAACTAGAACTACCCTAGGACCCAGCAATTGAACTACTAGGTATTTACCCAAAAAACACAAAAACACAAATTCAAAGGATACATGTAGTCTGATGTTTATAGTAGCGTTATTTACAATAGCCAAAATAGGAAAGCAGCCCAAGTGTCCATTGATTGATGAATGGATAAAGAAGTGATATATAATGGATAAAGAAGTGTTAAAGAAGTGATAAGTGTCATTCCATGACAACGGAATATTACTTAGCCATCAAAAAGAATAAAATCTTGCCATTTGCAGTGACATGGATGGAGCTAGAGTATTGTGCTAGGTGAAATATATCAGAGAAAGAGAAATACCATATGATTTCACTCATATATGGAATTTAGAAGACAAAACAAATGAGCATAGGGAAAAAGAGAGAGAGAGAGAGAGAGAGAGGCAAACTGGGAAACAGACTCTTAACTATAGAGAATAAACTGATGGTTACCAGAGAGGAGGCAGGCGGGTGGGGGGAATGGGTTGAACAGGTGATGGAGACTGAGGGGTGAACCTGTTGTGATGAGCACCGGGTGTTTCTGGAAGTGCTGAATGGCTATATTGCACACCTAAAACTAGTATTACACTGCATGTTAACTAACTGGAATTTAAATAAAAACTTTAAAAGTGTTACACATATTTAAGTATGTAAAACACACATTTGAGCATAATTCTACCGCACCAAAATGATGTTGCCCTCACTTGTATCCCTGAGCCACCCAAATCATCTCCAAGATGCAAGCATGTTACCTTTGTCTTGCAGACCTTCCAGATAAATGGTATTCAATAATATTATTTTTTAAAGTGTTACTTTGGATTATAGAGCAAATGTTTACTTTGAAAAACAAGAAACAGATGTTTAGCATTAGAAAATGTACTTGAGGGATGCGTGGTGGTTCAATCGGTTAAGCATTTGGCTTCAGCTCAGGTCATGATCCTAGGGCCCTGGGATCGAGCCCTGCGTCGGGCTCCCTGCTCATCCAGAGTCTGCTTCTCCCTGTTCCTCTACCCCCTCTTCCCCCCTGCTCATGCTCTCTCTCTCTAAAATAAGTAAATAAAATCTTAAAAAAAAAGATAAGAAAATGTACTTAAAAATGTCTAAGCAAAGAAAATTATAATACTGTTATATCCTAATACTGAAAAACATTTTGAACTGTAATGTGGTATATCACTGTGTGCAGGTAAGGCTATTTTTGGATCTGTTCTCTCACGGTAACTCTCCATGCACCCTACAGTCTAAGATCAGACATACTACGTGCTTTCTAATCATATGTACTCACTAAATGTTTAACTTGAACATATGATACTACCCGAATTTTCTCAGGTAAATCTTAAAAAAAAAAGACTTAATTACTCCCATATTGTAAACCTTAAGTGAGGCTTTTAAAAAATTCAAATATATTATGAAAATGGTCCTATTCTTTGCAGGGGTTCAATATGGTGGCATAGGAAGACCCTGAACTGACCTCCTCCCGTTGGTACACCAAATTTACAGCTACTTATAGAATAATTCGCCCTGGAAAAGACCTGAAAATAAGCTGAAGAGCAACTCCACAACAAAAGATAAAAGGACCAAATCAAGAAAGGTAGGAGAGGCAGAGACATAGTCTTGTCAAAAACACTATTCCTGGCATGGCAAGCCACAAGTAGGAGGGATCTCACAAATATGGAGCATATCCCTAACGAGCAAGGTATTTGATCCCCACATCATGTACCCCAACCCTTGGGACCTGCACCAGAGAGACAGGCCCTGAAACATCTGGCTTTGAAAACCAGCATGGCTTATACCTAGAAGACCCAAAGGACTATAGGAAATGGAGACTCCCATCTTAAAAGGGCTCATGCCCAGGCTCATTACCTTGGGTCCCAGTGCAAAAACAGCAAGCTGAAAAGCACCTAGACCACATATGAAAGAAATTCATTGGCCAATCTTAAAGCATCTGCCAGAAGGGCAAGGGTCTGCTGGAACTCTCTCCAGGGATGGAGGTGCTGGTATCATTTTTGTACTTTCCTACCTTGCTGGTGCTGCTTGCCCTGGAATGGTGCTCCCATTCCCCCCTTTAAAAGATGTAAAATGCCAAACTCAGCAGGTGTTATGTGCCAGCATCCTAGCACTCATCTGCCCTGCCAAAGCCTGTGGAAGGGCATGCCCCAGTTTGGCACTCTCCTGTGGATCCATGCTGCCTAAACCAGCAGGTGCATTCAGAACACACAAGGGATGCCCCTTAAACACCTGTCTCTGGGCCAAGGGGAACTTGTGTATCTGGGCCCCACAGGTTTGAAACAATCAGAGAAACAGTTCCCAGCAGGCTACCACTCCCAGGTCAGATGCAGGCAGCAGACTAAAACACATCGTCCTTGGGCCCCATTTGGTGCCCTTCCTCTCTTGTTCATATCCCTCAGAGCCCACTTCCTATCCAGCCCAGACTTCAAGGTATGTCACCTCATACTCTCTCTAGCCAGGATTCTCCGTGTTGTCACTCCCCTCCTTCCTCCCTCTTACCCAGACAATCCCAAACCCATGTCAATCCAATCACTTGCTGTCTTCACTTCTGGTCAAAATCACCCAACAGTGCAGGCTGATGCCACTACAGGTAGATGGTCTCTACCCCTGGCTGGATGCATCTTAGCTGTTTTTTACATACCCCTGCAGAAGCCTCCTGTGTTCCCCTTCAAGTGACATACATGTCATCACTCTGCTTAGTCCTTTGACCAAACTTCCTCGCTGCTCAAAAGTTCTGCCCCCACCTGCCTTCCAGTTGTCCCAGCCATACACATATCAGATCTGTCTTCAAATCCCACTTGCTACTCACAAATGCTTTAGTGAAAAACAAAGACGAAAAGGGTGTAGAGCGAAATGAATAAATGAAAACGTTTATTTATAAACAATCTTTGAAGTTTTTATCACCCAACTATATAATCTAAAGCAAAATCTAAGTGTTTCTACTTTTGAATCTCCCCAGGACATCTGAGCCCTTCTTGGTTTTGTACTTTCTTGGGCATGTTCCCTTGCTCCCTGGCCCTCTCCTACACTCACTTGTATATGAACTTGAAGAGAAGCTAAAGAGCAGTTACAACTGATTAATCACAAGTGACTAGCTTTGAAAGGCCCCAGGGCTTGTGGAAGGGGTAGGGAAAAGGAGAGAAGGCAGAGGCCGCGCTGTGGGTGCTCTCTCTTACCGCATGACAAAATTTGCTTCATCTATTTGACGGCCACAGCCACTCTTCTTCAGAATCCCACCATTTCCCACCACCGCGCATTTCTTCAAGGGCAGCTGGAATGGGGTTGCCTAGCAACAGAAAACAAGGCGGGTTTTCACTGCAGAGAACACACAACTGCTCACAAAATCATTGTTTACAGCAGACCCGTTGGAAGAATTTGATTGAAGACTGGGCAGATCAAAAGAGCATGGAGAAAGAAAGATGCCAAGAAGTTTGTAAGGAATAAACTATCTTGTTCCTTTGAAACTAAAATAAATAAATAAATAAATAATAAAAAATTAATTCCCTGAAGTGTATTTAAATATAACATATTTGAATCAAACTGACCATGTACATTGTAGAAAGTGGCTGCTAGGGAAAAGAGAAAAATCCATACTAAACATAGGATTAGTTTTAAAGGCATTAAACTGGGAACAAGCTCAAATGGATTCTATCTCCCTATCTGAATGCAATTTCATTCATTCCTACAAACTGCAATTCGCTCAACAAACAATGGCTGAGTGTTTCCTATGCTGTTAGGGGTAAATACAAAAAGATACAGAAAGTCACAGGCCTCAGGACTCAGTTTGGGATGTAGGGCGACTATGAACATAGAAACTTATCTAACAGACTCTTATGTAATGCTGAAATTGTTGTAGAAGACGTATGCTCTAAGTGCTGTGGAGAATCCCACACAGGAGGAAAAGGGCAAATTTCTGCCAAGGCAACTCAGGGAAAGCTTTCTCACTCGAGATGAATCTTAAAGGATGAATAGGATTTTGCCAGGCAGAGAAGCAGTATAAACAAAGGCATAAAGTATGCCGAAAGCAAATGCTGTGTTTATAAGAAAATGTACACTCTGGGTGGGTCTGTCTAGAACTTGGGAGGCGGTAAGGGGCAAGGGACTTGTGCAAACCAGACAGCATGTGACTTTCTTTCTGCAAACATTGAACTGAACTGCAAAGAAAATGTCCAGTGTACCTGAGTGTTCCCTGAAGTGCTATTTATAGTACCAGGGACTATCAAAACCTAGCAATAGCCCCTGGAAGTGAAATGCGTCCTTCAGTGTCTTTTAGCTGGGTCAGCAAGAACCACGAAGTACAGAATCTCCTGCTTGCTGAAACAATACATATTGGTTGCAGTTCTTTGGAGGAAGAACTTACATCTATAGAACTGGTACATAAAATAACCATTCTGATATTAAGTAGGCCATTCTGCATGAATTTGAAGCCAATATGGATTACACCAGAAGAATAAATGGAATACATGAATATATACTATAAGAGCTTCACATAGGCACAAAGTAATTAAACCAGAAAAATAAAATTCCAAGAGTCTGTGTGATCACTAGGAGCTGAGGTCAGCACTTAATGCAGCACAAGAAAAAATTTTACTTCCTCTATTTCTAGTATGTAAAAGGAACAGCCAGTGCTATGAAAATATAGTTGATAAAGATACAGTACTTAAATGGTAAAGACTAAGCATTTACCCGCAGACAATTAAGAATTTCCTGCATGACTGCAACAAAGAACAGTCTAGTGAACTCCAGAGAGGGACACAGAGAAGAAAGATAGGCAAAGGCCAGCACTCTAACACGTCCAGATTGATCCAGGGTTATATGTGGCATTTTCCTCAGTCAGTCCTAAGGAGGGTTTGAAGTCAACATTAGAAATACATTGGTTAGATCTACCAAAACAAGGCAGAGGATCATAGGAGAAGAGAGGAAAAAATGAAACAAGACGAAACCAGAGAGGGAGACACAACCATAAGAGATTCTTAATCTTAGGACAAAACTGAGGGTTGCTGGAGGGGAAAGGGGTGGCGGGATGTGGGAACAGGGTGATGGACATTGGGAAGGGTATGTGTTATAATGAGCACTGGGTATTATATAAGACTGATGAATCACAGACCTGTACCCCTGAAACAAATAATACATTATATATTAATTAATTGAATTTAAATTAAAAAAAGAAAATATATTTATATATAAAAAAATAGAAGTGCAAAAAAAAAAAGAAATACATTGGTTAGATCTATGTTAGATGTAGATTTAAGTTTATATGCTCAAATTAGCTATTCATTTATTCCACAAGTATTTACTGAGTGCCTACTATGTTCCAGGCACTGTTCTGGGTGACAGGGACATATGTAATATGTTCCTGTTCCTATGGAGCTTACATTCTCATGAGTAAAGACAAATGAGTGGAAAGAACAGTATGTCAGATGGCGATATGCCTGTGGAGAGAAACAAATCATTGGCATGAAACAATCAGGAAATGGCTTTTGAAGAACTGCAATTCGAATAGGGTGGCTGGGGAAGACCTCAAAGGAGACATGTGAGCAAATCCTTGAAAATGAGGTGGTGGGCATTATGGACATCCAGGGGGAACTGCTGTTGCTGACCTTGAGGAAGGAACATTCATGGTGTACAAAAGGAAGAGCAAAGACCCCACTGTGTCTGGAGATGAGTAAGCAGGGGATTGATAAGTAGAAGAGAAAATGAGAGTTAACTGGCAGAGAGACTGGAGAACAGATTCTGTAGGGCCTTGAAGGATATGATAGAGACTTTGGGTTTTGTTCCAAGATGAACATCAAGTCAAGGTAGAGAGAGCAAAGGAGTGACGGTATGCCATATTTTGGAACAACCACTCTGCCTCTGTGTGAACAGGCTATAAGATGTTATGGGTAGAAAGAAAGGAACCAGTCAGGAGTCTCCTGTAACAGTGGACTAGAGATTCTGGTGGCTTGGACGAGGGTGATGGCAGTGGGGACCGTGAGAAGTGAGCAGATTCTGGAGATATTCTGAAGGAAAAGCTGACAGGATTTGCTGATGTAATAGAAATAGAGTAAGAGAAAAAAGAGGAATTAAGAATGATGCCAAGGGTTTTGGCAAAAACAGCTGTAAAGATGGACCTGCCATTTACTGAGGTATAGGTTACAGAGGAGCAGGTTTTGGGGAAAATGATTTGGAGTTCAATTTTAAATATGTCATGTATGACATCTCCTTTAGGCATTTAAATGGCCGTGTCAAGGAGGCAACTGAAATATGAGAATACATCCAGGGAACTGGTCTTTCCTGGAGAAAGCTGGGAGTGATCAGCATACACTAGGGAACTAAAGTTAGGAGACCAGATGGTGAATGGGTGTAGACAGAAAAGAGAAGAGGTCAAAGACTTGAATCCTGGGACACTCCAACAAGAAGTCAGGACACTAAGGAGACTAAGGAGTGGCCAATAAAATGGCAGAAAAAAAAAAAAAAACAGGAAAGTGTGGTGTCTGGGAAGACAAGTTAAAAAAAAAGTTTCTCAAAAAAGAAGGGGGAAAATAGTAGCAAATACAATAGATTTGCAATAATAAATAGATTAATAAAGTAAAATAATAGCTAAAAATTGCCCCCTGGATTTAACAACATGAAGGTTACTTGGTAACCTTAACAAGGATAGATTTGGTTCACAGTATAGACAGAAGCCTGATCTGAGTGGCGCCTGGGTGGCTCAGTCGTTAAGCATCTGCCTTTGGCTCAGGTCATGATCCCAGGGTCCTGGGATTGAGCCCCGTATCAGGCTCCCTGCTCAGCGGGAAGCCTGCTTCTTGCTCTCCCGCTCCCCCTGCTTGTGTTCCCTCCTTCATTGTGTCTCTGTTAAATAAATAAATAAAATCTTAAAAAAAAAAAGCCTGATCTGAGCTCAGTGAGTTATACATGTTTATTTGCATATCTATTTGTATATAGTTATTTTAAAAGTGTGGGCTCATTCATGCTCAACTAATATTTAGTTTGCCTTGGGGCACCTGGGTGGCTCAGTCATTTAAGCATAGGACTCTTGATATTGTCTCAGGTCATGATCTCAGGGTTGTGAGATCAAGCCCTGCACTGGCCTCTGCACTGGGCATAGAGTCTGCTTGGGATTCTCCCTCTCTCTCTACCTCCCCCCAATAATAAAATAATAATAATAATTAATAATAACAATAATAATAATAATATTTAGTTTGTCTTGTAAAAGCCAACTTAAACCCTCCCTCATTGTTGTCAGAGTTCTTGAGGGGTGCCTGGGTAGCTCAGTTGGTTAAGCATCCAACTCTTGGTTTCGGCTCAGGTCATGATTCTAAAATCATTGAGACTGAGCCCCATGTTGGGCTCCATGTTCAGCAGGAAGTCTACTTGAGAATTCTCTCCCTCTTCCTGTGCCCCTCCCCCACTAAAATAAATAAATCTAAAAAAAAAGAGAAAAGAAAGAGCTCTTGAACCAGATTGACTAGCAACCCCAGGCTTCCAGGCAAGAATCTGGGCACAGAAGCAGCGTATCTGGGAAAGGGCAGAAGTAGAAGCAGTAACATAAAGCCAGGTGTCTCCAGGGGCACTGGGGTGGCTCGGTCGGTTGGCCAATGGGCTCTTGATTTTGGCTCAGGTCATGATCTCGGGTTGTGGAATCAAGCCCAGTGTCAGGCTCTGTGCTCAGCAGGGAGTCTGCTTGAGATTTTCTCCTTCCCCATCTCCTTCTGCCCCTCCCTCCACTCATGTGCAGTCTCTCCCTATATATAATAATTAAACAAAACTTAAAAAAAGAAAAAAAGCTAGGTGCCTCCTACCTCCTAACTTCCAGGTTGTAGGACTGTGGGACTATAGGGCAGGCTGTCTGACCCCTCAGTGTTCCACTTCCTGTCTCTAAAGAGGGCTAGTATCACAGGATTATATGGGATTATATGAGATGTTGTACATATATCTCCTTGAGCTCCTGGTACGGTGTTCCTTCCCTTCTTCTTTCTTCTTTCCCTTCTGTCATCCCTTTCCTCCTTCTAGCACAGTTCACTGACTTGTTCAAGCCGCAAAATACTGAGATTCCATGGGTTTGGGGAAGCATGATAATAGAGTGATTTGTCTAACTCTACCTTAACAATTGTAAAATGTAACTATTATATTCATATACTATAAAAAAAATTTTTAAAAGCTCTTGAACTAAAGGCCAGGGATGGGGGAAGCCATTTCTTTTTTTCTGTTAATATTTGCTTGCTACTTCTCCATTTGGTCAACTGCTGGCCCTCACACAAGCAATTTCATTTCAATAAATATTTCTCAAGTTCCTATGTACAC